GGCGGGGGTGTTGTGGGGAAAGGAACCTTCCTGTGTGTTACCTCCAGGTTGGAGTCCAGCGGGCCATTCCCTTCACCCCAGCACTCTGTCAGCTCCCAGAACAAGAGATTTCTCAAGCTGAGGGGTCTTACCAGGGTCCCTCAACCTTCTCATACATACTGATTCAGCTGGGGTGCCCAGAGGAGTCCCAAGTGAATTTCAGATGTAAGATCAAGTAGCTGCCAGATTCGAGTCAGTACTCTTCTGGTGGCCCACCATTATAAAAATGTAGACTGAGTAAACTATACTGTAGTCAACAAAAGTTTATTAACTATCAGAAGAAAGAGTCAGCTTAATGTCTTACGATAAGAAAGTCAGTTAACATTAAAATGATTTAAAAACAAAAAACAAACATAAAAATGGGACTAAGGATCCTATAATAAGGGAAAGATGATAAGAGGTAAAAATATTTGCATTGGTCCATATTTTGTAACCCAAACACTCTACTATGCCCTGACTCTCAGCATTAGCTTGAGCAGCTAGCAGACAGAGATGCGCAGGCTATGCAAGGATTCACACCAGAGAGAAGGTTCTGGGGTAAGAGGCAGTCGCCAGAGAAGCTTTCCTAAACTACAGTCCTGGGAACCCAAGGCTGAAATAACCACAGAAATACAGAGAGGAAAGGAGTAATGGAAAGGAAAGGAGGGCTGGGGTAATATCTGTGGACCAAGGTAGATTGCTCCAGGTGGACGTGAGCCCGGATGCCAGGCCATGGGAGACGGAGCAGGACCTCCTGCGAGTGAGGAAGAAGAGTGCCCAGCGTCACCTTGGGTGTGCAACAGGTGTGCGCAGGCAGCGCTCTCCTAAGAGTGTGGAGGAGCGCCCCGCTCCCCTGCCTCTGGAGCTGCGGTGTTTGGAGGAGTCGGGACAAGTCGATTTGTGTCCCACAGAAAGCATGGCTTTAAAAGAGAAAAATCGAGACGAGCGTTGCAGGCTTAAGTTCTGGTTTGAAATTTTTCACCTTTGTTTTTTTAGTTATGTTTGTTTGTCAGCAAATGTAGTTCTAAAATCTAAACTGAGAAAAATTTAGCTTCTAACTTTTGCTCCAAAGGCAATGACTTTTCATATCCTGTTACCTCCAGCATATTCCATAATACAGTATTTATTACATATGTGTCTCACCATTGTTAAAATGAAACCAGTTGTTCAGAGCAGCTCTGTTTACCTAAGGAGCCAATACTAGTCTTTTATTCTGATCCCATCAGAAAGTACATTATATGCATAATGCACATAGTTTCTTAGTCGTTCAGGACTTAACTGTTAACATTATTAAAGTCTGTATTGCACACATCCGCACTTGGGATTCTCAACATGGAAAGGGCGGTAAGCACCTTCACTGGTGGCTGTTCTGCCATAGCCCTGCTTCTGCTCCAGCCACCTACATTGTCATCTTCCTGACCCTTCTAGGTAAACTCTGTCCCATATGTGAAGGAGCAAGCAGTATGCATTTATAAGAAATAGGGATTGGAGTTCTGTCTCACGGTAGTGTGGAGGCCCTGGGTTCAGTCTCCAGCACCAAACGAAAAAAGATAGCCTATGAGGGTGAGCCTTTAGGTTCAGTCTTTGAACCTAAAATTTGAGGTTTGGGCCCTGGATTTGCTGCTAACCACTTGTGACTGCAGCATGTCATCTGACCTCTCCTCACTTCCATTTGCTTATGCAAAAAGAGTGTGGTCAGGTGAGATCTGTGTGTCTGAAAGGAGCTGCATCCTTGTACCTCACCTTTCACGCACTATGTGGGAAGGGGAAATTAGGAATGTCTAGACTAGGCGAGCTCTCAAGTTTAACAAAGTAGCATTTGATGTACCCAAAGGGGATGACATATTTTATTTGGACAGCCAGGCTGCAAAAAGAAAAAAGCCTGCTGTGGTTTTTGGTTTTGTCTCCCAAAAGGTTTGTTTGTCTCCCAAAGGGTCTCACAGTGTGGCCTAGGCTGGCCTCAAAATTGATAATCCTCCTGCCTCAGCCTCCCAAGTGCTGCAATTACAGGTGGGGCCGCTCTACGCATTGTGTTAAAAGCAGTCTGTAAAGTAGCAAGCGGTGGCCCGGGGTGGGCAGAGTAGGAGGGTGGAGAGCACACAGAAAGCTTATGGCGCTGCAAAGCTGAGAGCTGGCCGGGAGAGCCTTCAGGCTGGCAGTGGGATGAAAAAGCCAGTGTAAGAATTTCACCTGTCCTGTTCCTGTACTACTTTTTATCTCACGTGTCAGCTCGGTCTTCAGGGCTCCTTGTTGAGGTAGATACTGCAGCTGCCTCTGGGTTCATCAGAAAAGTGCCTGACAGGTTCTCGCTTGAGAAAGGTCTGTGGAAAGGAGAATCCAGAGACACATACATGTGTGCCGCGTAGCTGCCCTTCCTGCAGTTGGGCACGAATAAGGAAGCGCGGGGGAAGGACAGAAGAGACTTCTCCTAGGGCCGCTGAGTATCGGCAGGCCTGTATACCTCGTGGTCCCGAGAGAAACACTGTACTACGGGACAGCAGTGTAAATGACTTCCTACTTACTAATAAGCAATATAAAGATATGGCCGTTAAAGTAAAACCTTCCATTCTTTGTACATTTTTAAACTGCCACCCTTTAAAAAATTACTAAGTTACTAAAAATTGGCATAACATTTTGTATAAGATTACAGAAGTGCCAGTTGAAAGCCGTATGGAATAGGGCTGCTTTATTTTTAACATTTCTTTTGTATTCTCTCCTTACAGATTGAAACACAATTAGCAGAATATCACAAAATGGCTAGAAAGTTGAAACTAATCCCAAAAGGTGCAGAGAATTCCAAAGGTTACGACTTTGAAATTAAGTTTAATCCTGAAGCTGGTGCCAACTGCCTTGTCAAATACAGGGCACAAGTTTATGTAAGTACATTATCTGATTGGTGTCTGAAAAGTTTAAACTTTGGTATGTCCGTAACCCAGGACTGCTACGCAAGGAAATAAAATACCAAACCTTTTTGTCCTTTGTGCTACTAGGAACTTTGTCTTTATTATACCTAACTCTTCAAGTTATGAATCTTTTCTTCCTCTCTACCACTGTCCAGCAAGAGATTTGATTATCTCTTTTTTTTCCCTTTTTTTTTTTTTTTTTTTTTTTTTTTTTTTTTTTTTTTTTGGTCTTTTTGAGACAGGGTCTCGCTATGCAGTTCAGGCTGGCCTTGAGCTCACTTTGTAGCCCAGGCTGGCCTCAAACTCACAACGCTCCTCCTTCCAAGTACTGGGATTACAGGTGTTTGCCACCAGGCCCAGGAGATTTGATTATCTACCAAACAGACTTCAGGACCATATAAAAGTTACTCAACTTTTTCTCTCAAGATGATTGTAGTCCCTCAGGGAAGTAAAGCATGCATAAATAATAAATAATGCCAAATATATGCATTATTAGAATTCCTTACAAGGTATAGTAGCAAGAACAACTCTTCCCAGGTAGCAGAAAAAGGCTCCACAGAGAAGGGGACCTGAAATGAAATCATTTTTTGTTGGGTTTTTTTTGGAAGGAGGTGGGAAGGTTGAGACAATGTCTCACTGTGTAGTTCAGGCTGGCCTTGAATTCACTGTGTAGCCCAGGCTGGCCTCGCTCACGGTGATCCTCCTGCCTCAGCCTCCCAAGTGCTGAGGTTACAGGCGTGCGCCACCATGGGATGAAATCTTGCAAGGTGAAATGTCTGTGGGGCCTGTGGGGAGAGTTCCGGCACACGGACACAGGAAGGCATAAAATGTAAAGTGGATCATTGAGGAACACCAGCAGCCAGCCAGGGGAAAGCTGTGCCAAATTTTGAGAAGAAATTCCTGAAGTGTACTGTCACAGCTTCTCGGTTGTTAGCAGATTTCATTATGTGTGTGCATCATGACAGTTTTCCAAGTACTTGTTATTGTTAATAGAAGAATGTAAATGAAAACCAAAAGCTATACATTTCTTCCCTTGAGAACTACTTATTCATTCAGCAAATATTTGAATGCATATCATGTTCCAGACCAGCTATGGAGATAAAATACCCAGGTAAAATCACTACTTCATTGGGTAAATCAAGCTAGAATTACTTGCCTGGGGTTTTTGTGTGTGTGTGCATGTAGGCCTAGGGCAGTGCTGGGGATGGAACCCAGCGCTCACACATGCGAGGCAAGGGCTCTACCTCTGAGCCACATGCCAACCTTAGACTCATTTTCAGTAGTGACACCAGGTATCCAGCAAGCAGTCGGTTGCTGACCGAGTTGTTTCTCACGGCAGTTGCTGCTGGCTAACTAGATACATCATTTCTGTCAGTGGACAGGTAGGCCGTTCTCTCACCAGTAAGAGCGTGATTACCTGGGTCAGAGCCCCTAGAAAAGGCTACCTAGTGCAAAAGGAGTGCCTATGCTCAGAAAAGCAGTTTTACTGTGATCTCTGCAAATAGTAAGAAAGAATTAATAAAACATAATTCCAAGTGTTTGTATTTGCAAAGAAGTTCGTAAAGAGATGTATCTTTCAGGAAGGAGCGCGTGGAGCCAGGCCTGCAGCTGAGTGGCAGAGCACATGCCGACGTGCAAGGCCCAAGTTATATCCCCAGCACCAAAAAAGAAAAGAGAAAAAGTTCAAAATTGAAACTCAACTTCAAAAGATGTAGATATGTGGTTTTCTTTTGGAGTTACGGAATTTGGGGAATTAGAGGTTTTATTTACAAAACATTGAATGTACTAAATGCCACTAAAATGCACACTTTAAAAAGTTTAATATTGGGGCTGGGGATTTAGCTCAGCGGCACAGCGCCTGCCTGGCAAGCTCGAGTGAGTTCGATTCCTGGTACCAGAAAAAAAACAAAACCAAAAAAAAGTTGAATATTGAGTTATGTTTGGGAGTTTTTTTCATGACAGTGTTGCACTGTGTAGTACAGGGTGGCCTTAAACTCACTATTAGTATCTCAGACTGGCCTTGAACTCACACCAATCCTCCTGCCGCAGCTTCCCCAAGTGGTGGGCTTACAGGCATGCGCCACCACACCTGGCTATTAAGTGATATTTCTTCTAACCCATTTCAGTTTAGCTGTTTTCATTTTCTTTTTTTTTTTTTTTTATTTTATTGAGGGAGAAACACAGCTCCTGAGAGACAGGAAGGGGCCCAAGTGCATTGCCCAGTTTAACTATTTTAAAATGTGAGAAATAATGAGAAGCAACACAATATAGTGTTGAAAGGAAGTCAGTAGCCAGATGTGCGCCCATGTCCTGCCTGAAATACCATGATTATTTAGGAAAAGTGTGTTTAATAAAGCTGGATGCAGTTTGAAAAAAATAAGAAAAACAAGCAAAGAATTATGAGACTAAACAATTGAAAAAAATTAAGAGAAACTGATGCATCTGGAGACTGTAACAATATAACTTTATATGTAAATTGTTTTCCAAAAAATACTGCTTTGAGCTTAATGCTCTTGCAGAATGTTTACATAATATCTATCAATTTCCAGAACAAATGAGCAGAACTTTGCAAGTATTCCAAACAAAAAGTAATTGATATTCCTCAGTTACAAAAATTACATTAAACATTAGTTTTATTTTCTTGTGCTTGGTATCTCAAGATTTAAAATACCATGGCTTTCTCCCTCCAAAAATAACTCATCACAGCTGTGTAGATGCCTTGTAAGAAATTTTGTGACTACGCATCTTATGTCACCCGTATTCCTCTGTGTTTTATAGGTACCTCTCAAGGAACTCCTGAACGAAAATGAAGAAGAAATTAATAAAGCTCTAAATAAAAAAATGGGTTTGGAGGATACGTTAGAACAAGTAAGTACTGAAACAGACTCATTTAGAGCAAAGCTTTCTTAGACCTAAAATTAGAAATCATTTGTAGTGTTTTGTTTTGTTTTGTTTTTTAGTTTTTTTGAGACAGGGTCTTGCTAGCCCAAGCTGGCCTCAAACTCACAGTGATTCCCCCTGCCTCAGCCTCCCAAGTGCTGGGATTACAAGTGTGCACCACCACACCCAGCCCATTTGTAGTTTATGACTGGTAAGAATTAAGTTTTTATTAAAATTATGCAAAAGAAAAAGGTGGATATAACCTTTAGAGAAATACTTTGAATAATTTAATAACTAATTTAAACATCCCATGCTTTACTTGTCAGTATGATAAAGTGGTCTGAAGCAAAATTTCTCTGTGTGTGTGTGTGTGTGTGTCTGTGTCTGTGTCTTTGGGCTTGGCAGAGAAAATTACCTCTGTAATGTAAAACAATTTAATATCCTTTTTTATATTAAAATAGATTTGAGGTGGCTGCCTGAAAAGTAGATATGTATCATTAGCAGTTAAGAGTGAACTGTGACAGAGCTAACTGTGATAGCTTAACAGGTTTGTTTTTGTAAGTTTTCATTCTAGACCTTGGAATTTCTAGAGAACTCAATAGCCATAGAACTTGATTTTAAAAGTAGTTTTGAGGGGCCGAGGATATAGCTCAGTGGCATAAGCACCTGCCTGGCAAACATAAGGTCCTGAGTTCGATTCCCGGTACCAAAAAAAAAAAAGAGAAATGGAACTAAAAGTAGTTTTGAGACTCCCAATAGAAAGAGCACGAGAATGTGTTTTATCGTACTATTGTTAACTGTGCTTTTGGGTTTCTGAAATGTCCGTCTATGGAAAGAAGGAAAGGAAGTAGGACTGCCTTCACAGGCGCTCCATGGGAATCATAATTATTTGAGGTGAAGTCTTTCTCTAGCCTGCTCCAGTTTAATTCACTTTTTTGCTGGAATTGGCACTGACCCTTATAAATTCTCAAAAAGGTGTGAATCCAAACAGTAGGGGCCACATAATTGAACATCATAGTCACTTCTCTTTGCTGAGGCAAAATGCCTGACACCCACAAGTTGAAGGAGAAAAGGTTTATCTCTAGGTCACACTGTTTCAGTCTGTAGTGAGTGGGTTCCAAGGCAGGGTGACCTGGCAGAGAAAAAAGAGTCTATGGCGGGCAGGCAGACGACAGCTGTAGGCCTGCCTGCCCTCTCCCTTTATAGTCCATCCAGGCTATGAGCTTATAGCAGGATGGGGCTTCCATTATCACCCAGAACCATGCTAAAACCATTCAGTTATCACACACCCTTCATCCTAGTGCCCTTGACCCTAGCATTGCACCATGAGTCACACACCCTAGATCCAGCCACCTCCAAAAAGCCCCACCTATGAGCGCAGGAGGCTTTGAAGGACACTTGAGAGATCTTTCTCGTTGATCTGAAACTTTTTAAAGGCTATAGCAGGAAAAGAAATGATGAAATAGCTACTATAGTCTAGGCCTCTTGTTGGTGTTCTAAAGATAAATACACCTTTCAGGGACCTCCATTTGGAGAAGAGTGCTGCATGCAATTATGCTAATCAGATCTGCATGTTTGGAAAACTTCTGAGCTGTAGGAAAATGTTTCATAGAAGAGATGCACCTGAAAATGGCCAGAGACTAAGCCAAAGCATTTGTAATCGAAGTAGTGGGAGGGGAATAGGCTTAGGAGATACTTTAGGAGGTGAAGCCCAGGGATTTCATGACTAAACATGCGAGTGTGAGGAGAAAGAAGTTCCAGGCTTCCGGTGCAGGCACTAAATGGACTGCAGTGCTCTCTCAGAGGAGAGAGAGAGTAGCAGGTGCCTAGCACAGTGCTGGAGACGTTGAACTTCGCAGCTTGTGGGGCGTCCAGGAGGGGGCCGAAGTTACAGATGTCACAGCGTCGGGCTGAATACCCCGTCCTGAGGGTCCTCGCAGTGCACAGTAACGGAATCCATGGGTGTGGGTGGTATTTCCTAGAGTGCACAGAGGAACGTGGCTGAGGAGCGAATCCCGAGCAATAACCCGACAGGGAGAAGAGAATGTGCCAGAGGAGCCAAAGTAGGGAAGCGTTTCCAAGAAGGGTGCAGTCAGTAATGCCGTGTGCTAAGACTCTGAAGCCTAAAACTCTTCTGCCTGACAGGTTAGCCAAGTTAAGAAGGCATAGGACAAAATAATAATTGGAAGCTGGGTGTGGTGGAGCTCACTTATAATCCCAGCACTTATGGAGGCTGAGGCAGGAGTTCAAGTTCAAGTCCTACCTGAGCAATTTAGTGAGACCCTGTCTTAAAATTTAAAATTAAAAAAAAGAAATGGGCTGGGGACATAATTTAGTGCTAGAGAGTCCGTGGGTTTGACCCCTACTACCCCCAAAAAGCAATTAGAAGTAATAAGGTTATACAGGTATTAATAAATTGGAATAATAAAACTAATCTGTTGAAAAGTATTTAAGAATTAAGTAAACAGAAATGCAGTTGGCTTTTCAAAAAAGGTCTAGTAACGGTGATTTTTTTTTTTTACAGTTCAGTGTTTTCAAATACAAAAAGTCATTTCAGGACATATAAATCATCACAGAGCATGGAGACCTAGGTCATTCATAAGGCCGGGATAGCTCTCATACCACAGCCTGACAGAAATGTCACAAAAGGAGGGAAGTAGCCAGGCATGGTGGCACACACCAGTAATGCCAGCACTTGGGAGGCTGAGGCAGGAGGGTTACACAGCGTGAAGCCGGCCTGGGCTACAGAGCAAAACGCACGACTCCAAATTAAAAATAAAAAAAGAAAGAAAGAAAAAATTAAATCTATCATGTTTATGAGTATAAACATAATGATTAAAGTTAAGTATTTGTCACTGAAGTTGACTCAGCAGGTCTGTATTTGAGTGCCTGTGTTCCCAGTCCCGTAGTAGACATTGATGACACTGATGTCGTGCAGTGCACACCTTGTGAACGCTGCCTCAGTTGGGACAGTGGGCGTGAAAAGCAGTTTGTCCTCGCATAACGTTCGTGTAGTGTAACAGAGCGTGCTGTGGCTTCTCACATTACCCCTAAGGTATGCACCGTATGTGTGACTAACGAGGAGCTGTGCGCACAGGTGCGTGCACACGGCTCCCCAGTGGCCCAGGAACCACGGAGCACAGCGTGGTCTTGGAGTGCCATGAGGACGTGGGCTATGGGAAGAGCCCGGAAGCTGACCGGGAAGGGCTCATCTGTTCCGCTTACTAGTGGGACTTATTCTGCAGGCAGCGGGGACCACTGAAGATTGTTAAAAAAGAATGGTAGGCATCTGTGTATGACAGAAAGCTGACAGTGTTGGCATCTGAAAGAACAGATTAGAGGCACATGACAGCAGAAACATGGAATTAAGAGACCCAGTCATAGCTACGCAGTAGATGATAAGAAATCAAACTGAAGGTTTTGCAGTGAGAGTAGAAAAAGTGGACTGGAGTGTGGAAACAGCCCAGCGGTCCTTTGTGAAGGTTAAGAAAGAAATCAAGACTGTCCAGATGGACAGGGCCTGGTCGTGCTCAGTATCGGCAGACTGCTCTTCCTGGACTACTGTGCGTGAGACTACAGTGGGACCAGTATTCCAGGCTGAGAAAAGGGTCTGGAATACCAGCAAGAAGCCAGGGTGGGTGGCTCACGTCTGCAGTCCTAGTGCTCTGGAAGGCTTGAGACACAAGGATCACAACTTCAAGGCCAGCCTAGGCAACTGAGTGAAACCCTGTCTCAAAAAATAAAACAGCTGAGGATACAGGTCAGGGGTGGGTCGCCCCTTGGCTGGGTTTATCCCCAATTTAAAAAAAACATACCATCAGTTTTCATTTCAATTGATCTCAGAACTCAAATTTTAACACAGTTAACTGGTTATTTCATTCCTTTTTGGAAGAATACGTGACTGCAGCCAAATACCAGACATTATGCAACAAAATTAATATAAACACTTTTCTCTAATATGCAAATGGAGGCTGGTGTGGTGGTGCACGCCTGTAATCCCAGCACTCAAGAGGCTGAGGCAGGAGGACTGCTGTGAGTTTGAGGCCAGCCTGGGATACAGAATGATTTCAAGGGTCTGGGGATTTCTCTCAGCAGCAAAGCGCCTGCCTGGCAAGCGCAAGGTTGTGAGTTCGATTCCCAGTACCAGGGGGGGGAAAAAAATGATTTCAAGGCCAGCCTGAACTATATAGTGAGACCCTGTCTCAAAAAGACAAAAAAAAAAAAAATGCAAATGGAACCTAGATAACAAAAGCCTAATGAAGATAAAGCTAATGTATATAATCTAATGAATCTGGAAAACAAAAACATTCCATACTTACGGATAAATTGGTAAAAAGTATTAATAACGTGTAGCTTGTAAAGCACTACCACAGATGCCAGTGGAAAAAGATATTTGTATCCTTAAAGTTTAAAATTAATCCCTCTTTAAGGAATAATAAAATTTTTAGACAAATGATAGGTTAGACAGAGTCCCTAAAAGGACCAGAAGAAATGAAGTGTTCAAACAGAAAGTTGAGTAACTTGTTAGAATCTCTCTGATCTGTAGTTGATTTCTCACCCAAAGTTTTTTTCTCCAAGTTGAATACAATGATAACAGAAAGCAAGAGAAGTGTGAGAACTCTGAAGGAAGAAGTTCAAAAGCTGGATGATCTTTACCAACAAAAAGTTAAGGTGAGAACTTCGCCAGATTACGCTTACTGTGATGGACTGACCACACGCGCGTTCTGACATCAAAACTGAGGTCTTGCGGCAATATTCTAGCGTCTGTTTTAGTTAGGCCTATTCCGTGGTTTATATAAAGAACAACTGTGTTTCGTCTTTCAAAGGCTTTTGCCGTTTCCCTGTAGAACACATTTCCTAGTCCATTGTCTGATACTGTGTGCTTGATACCAGTGTGTGCCTCGGTATCCTGCAAAGCGCACGTTTCAGACCTCTCTGCTTTCTTGTAGAGACTTAGTGCTGTGTACTGCTAAAGCTTGAGCCCCAGCAAGGTCTTTTGTGTATGTCATTGCTGATCTGGGGTCATCGCAAACTGGCTTTTCTGGCCAAATTCCAAAGGCCACCAAAATGAACACTAGCAGGCAGGAAGATAAGATTGATCTTCCACTACTGTACACCACCCTCTATCCATCCAGCATTTAGTTAGAAAAGTTTTCAGATGACTCAATTCATTGCTGCTTCCACAATTTCAATGAAAATTTTAACCACATCATTATTTTTCTTTACTTTGTTATGCCACCAAAGTATCAGGAGTTGAAAACTTCTTTCCTGGACCCCAGTAATACTTAGGACTTCTACATTTTGTTAGCAGTGTGAAATTTGTAGAAAATATAGCACAAGCCGAGCATGGTGGCGCACACCTGTAATCCCAGCACTCAGGAGGCTGAGGCAGGAGGATTGTTGTGAGTTCAAGACGAGCCTGCGCTATAAAGTGAGCTCAAGGCCAGCCTGGACTGCACAGCGAGACCCTGTCTCAAAAAGACAAAAAAATATATATATATATATATATATTTATATATCACAAAATATGATTTACATGTATAGTATGAGACATTTGGAAGTCATTTTCAGTTATCAGATATCCTCCTGAGAAGGCTTGGGTTTATTTTCTGAAGCAGTTAAATGAGTTTATGATTCTCACACATATTTCCTCTCCCCAGCCCTAGACATTGAGGAGTCAGGGCTGCTTTGCCTGTGCACGGTCAATACCTCTGTGAAACAGTGACTTAGATCAGTTCATGTTCGTGAGAAGAATTAGCAGAGTTCCCTGTACAACCTGAAGACACTGCGACATGGAATGCCATCCAGGCCTCTCGGTAGGGCCGCATGTGTTTGTAGCCCAGAATTCCCAAAGGAGCACTAAAGGTCTCCCAGGTGTAAAGCAGTGCGCATCCAGAGAATACAGACGGTGCAGCCTGATTGCTTTAAGGCTTCACGTGAACTTTCTGAAGTCCACTTTGAGTGTGTAAAGTAGGAACATCCCCAACCCATGACCACGACCTTCTCCTGGCAGGAAGCTGAGGAGGAGGACGAGAAGTGCGCCAGCGAGCTGGAGTCCTTGGAGAAGCACAAGCACCTGCTGGAGAGCGCCGTGAACGAGGGCCTCAGCGAGGCGATGGCCGCGCTGGACGCCGTGCAGCGGGAGTGAGTCCCCTGGCCAGGGTGCACGTGCTCATTTATGTAACGTTTCGGACAAGCCAGACCTAATTTTTCGCCATAATTTCAATTACACAGCTATTTGGACTGAAGAGAGTGGTGACTACAACGTAAACAGAGCAACTTAAAACCTGAGATGCGTCCCCCCACTGCTATAGTTTGCCCACCAAGAAATCATTCATCTTACAGCTAATTCATAAATGCCTTTTAATCCCTGAAACAACATACCTTTTTTTTTGTTTGGTTTGGTTTGGTTTGGTTTTTGTTTTTTTCTGGTACCAGGGATTGAACTCATGACCTTGCACTTGCCAGGCAGGTGGTGTGCCGCTGAGCTACATCCCCAGCCCCACAACATACAATTTTAAATCACACAATTTTAAATCAATTTAAATAACTTTGGCTACTTGGTAGTAAGTTTTAATCCTACTAAGCTCATATTTTAATTATATTTTCTAGAAGTTAGGATTATTATAAATCATGATGTGATTATAAATCATAACTTACAGTAACATAACACCCGCCTTACTAATAACTGCTACACCACACAAAGTAATGCTGTAAAAATCACAAGACTCACAGGAAAATTAGTCTTAGGGCGTGATACTCAAAAACTCCATCAAAGACGCACACAAACAGTGGTGAGAACCTAATAAAATGTTAGCTCAGCTCTACACACATCACGTAGCTAAGAAAAACATAAATGCTGCAGTAGTCTGACACTCCTCACCTTAGAAGCCCTGCAGTCTGCCCCAGGAAACGGGCATCCCAGGAGCTGTGCCTGTGGGTTTCCAGGCAGAAGCAGAAGGAGGGTTACCTGGGGATGGGATGCGAATTGTGAGGCCAGTTGTGGGCACAAGGGGCTGATCACAGATGCCGTGAGCGGAGGCCCATGGGACATGTGTGAGGTGTGTGCTCACATGTGCTTTTTAGATTCCTTGAAGTCTGGATCCAGCTGGGTACTGTTTTCTGCATTCACCAAGGAAGAAATTGGCATCGGCAGACATGAAATTTGCATTCTGCTCACATTACTACATTGTGCTCACATCACTACCTGATTTTTAACACTTACTTAGAAAAAATTTTAGCCATACTCTAATAACTATAGCTGAAAATAGTGACATCCATTCCTTAAAAAGTACTCTCACTCGGCCGGGGATATAGCTCAGCAGTACAGCGCCTGCCTGGCCAGCACAAGGTCCTGAGTTCAATTCCCAGCACAAAAAAGCGTACTCTGCCTTTGTGTAAATAATTCTCTTGTGAGGCCTATATAAAATCAACATACTCTGGCAAGCGCAAGGTCGTGAGTTCGGTTCCTGGTACCGGAGAAAAACCAAAATAAAAAAAAATAAAAAAAATAAAAAATAAAATCAACATACTGAATAATTAATCCATAGTCTTCCATGTACATCTATGTAAATATGTACACATTTTAAAAATCTTACAAGGCCCTCAAATAACTGAAAATTTTTTACATTAAAGTTACAAATGCTTCAAAATGTTACACCTTTTCATATCTTTATTTGTAGTAGAGGGATAAAAAACTCAGTGAAAGTTTATTTGATCTCTAGTTTGCTTTGGATTTGAATAAAAGTAAGATTTCTATTCACCATACTTAAAATTTTCTCTTCTGATCCCTTGGAAACTCCGATAAAACCACTAGGGACTGGGGATGTAGCCCAGATACAGAGCTCTTGCCTAGCATGCTGGAAATGCTGGTTCAGTCCCCAGCATCACAAAAAAAAGTTGATAGCATTCTATGTTGAAGCATGAGGTTTCGGTGCTGTCTGCTTTTATTCCTTACAAAGCATCTTTGAATATGTTACTTGTGTGTCAGCGATTGAAAGTTAGCCCTCCATAATTACATATGTACTAGGCAGTACCTAGACCAGTCACTGCCTGGCTTTATTGAGTATGGACAGAGGGTGTGAGCTCAGGAGACCTGGTATATTAATTTATTTTCTAGGCAACTTGAATAGTTTTTATTCCACAGGTACCAGCTAGTTGTGCAGACCACAACTGAAGAAAGAAGGAAAGTGGGGAGTAACCTGCAGCGTCTGCTAGAGATGGTGGCCATGCACGTGGGGTCCGTGGAGGTGCGTGTGAGCGTCTCTTCCTGTCCTCTGAGGGGGTTTTTAAAACTCTGATGTATTTCTGCTTTGCCTGTGCAGAAATTAAATGATAAATTTTCTTTCTATTGAAAACATCTAGTAAAAAAGTATCAGAAGAATTCTGTCTAGTGCTGCGGTAAGGGGTAGAACACATGCACTTTATAAAATAATGTTTTGTTTACATAAACAACATACAGTGATTTTTTACATCGGCAGTAGATAATGATGTCTTTCTACTGAAAGCATATTAGGACATGAGGGCTTCATTAAGATGGAAACACAAAAAAAAAAAAAAGATGGAAGCACATCAGTTGTTTTTCCTTTCTGTCGCTTCATTTAAACAGAGAACAAAGAATTTCTGAAACATGAAGTTTGTTTAACCTTATCCCCACTTTTCACATAGCTAAAAAGATCAACAATAAAACTATGCCTCCAACTTGTTGTACAGAGTCCTAAAAACTAGTTGAGCCTAGTGGCACGTGACTGTAATCCCAGTACTCTGGAAACTGAGGCAGAAGGATCGAAAGTTGAAGCCCAGCTTGGGCAATTTAGCAAGACCTTGTGTCCAAATGAAAAATAAGAAAAGAACCAGGGATATAGCTCAGCGCAGAGGCCCTCCCTAGCTAGGTTCAATTCCAATACTACCCCCCCACCAACAAAAGAGAATATTCTTTTTATTTCACAAACAGTCTACTCTCCTTGTAAATTTCACACTTTCAACATTAATGTTCTTACTTTAACTATTGTTTATTTTCACTAGAAACATCTTGAGGAGCAGATTCCTAAAGTTGATAGAGAGTACGAAGAATGCATGTCTGAAGATCTCTTGGAAAATATTAGAGAGATTACAGAAAAATATAAGAAGAACGCTGCTCTCATTAAGCCTTCCGATGAGTGAAGATAAAATGTTGATTATCTTGTACATTTTATAAATCTAGTTGATATGTATAACTTGAAATTATGATGACTTGTGGATTATTTTTAGCTGTGGAAGAGCAGTTTTATATGTACCTGTAGTTAATAAAATTGTATCAGTAAAGCATGTTTTTGTTTGCCTGACTTCAGATGGCAAGAAGATAGGGCATGATCTAAACCAGAAGTTAGAAACCCCGGTGTAAGCCAAGTCAGCGGCCCACATTTATCCATTCCCGGGTTGTCTGCCGCAGCTTTCACTCTGTGGCAGAGCTGAGGACCTGCAGTAGCGACCACGTGGCCTGAAAGCCAGAAATGTTTACTGTCGAATCCTCCAGAAAAAGATTGCTGATCACTTGTGTAAATGCCAAGGATGGTACAGTCTAATTTTGAAACATCTTGATGACTGAGCACAGATAGCCCAACCCCCTCCTGCTCTGAGGCTCTCTAAGAAGCCCAGGTTCTTTCTGGCTTCATGCCATCTTTATGCTGAAGCAGGAGAATCAGAGGGAATGATAAAATCATTGCATTCAGCCCCCACATTTTGGAAATGGAGAATTTTCCTAGAAAAGTTCCAGTTCACCCCAGTCACATCTGGTAGAAGCAATCCTGGAACTTGGAACTGATGTGCAGTCTGGGATTCAACCACGGGAGCTTTGAGAAGCAGCTCCTGGCGTGTTAACAGAGCCTGGGTAGAAACCAGGAACAGTCTGACTACGTGCACTTCCCACTGTGACCCTCAAGTCATTAGGTCGGCCCAAGTGCGGCCACGGCACCTCCAGTATCGACCCAAGCAGACCGGAGGGTACAAGCACAGGACCCTGCGGGCAATTCGGGCCCTTGTTCCTGGGCCCCAGATGCACCGAGCTTTCCCCCTGGTTTTCACCTATGGAAACAGCATCCCGCACAACTAGCTGAAAGGAGGGATGACCCCAAGCTTGGCTCGTAGGTGAGTTAGCTCATGTGGGGTTTGGCGGGGACCGAGAGCCCCTTCAGAGATAGCGCTGTTAGCCTGACAGGGAGGCTCTTCCAAGTGGGCAGAACTGTGCAGAACTTGTCATCCACTGGCAGAAGTGGGCTGAGGTGAACAGACGATTTCCAAGCAGTGGCCGATGGCTTGGCCCTCAGGCCAGGTCCCTGAACACAAAGGGTACTGAAAGGAAACCAGGTTACTGGGTAGAGTCAAGTGGTGGACATAGAGTGGGGACAAGACTTTTGTGTCATGTTAAACACTCGCCGAAACATCTACAGTGGAAGACAGAAAATCACTCAACCAACTGAAGTAGCACGATTGGTGTGATGGGCACCCGAATGGCCATGCTGTCGGAATCAGAGGTTATAGGTCCAATCACGGGGACTCCGTCTTACCAGGATTCACCCAGTTACTGCACTTGTCAATGTTCACTTGTCAGCAACAGAGAACTGTAGATTGAGACCAACTGGCCACTTGGTAGTTGGCTACATGAAACCTCCTCTGTCCTGATAGGGCCAGTGCTTTATCCTCGCAAGGATAGAGCTCTATTCTGGGAAAAGAAAACATTCCATATAAACATATGGAATACTACTAAGGTAGAACCCAGAAGAAGATTCATAGCTTAATATTCATTTTAAACAAAGAACTAAGAATCTAAAAAACTAAGGGGGGGAAGTAAACTGAAGCAAAGCAGAGTTAATGAATAAAAGCAAAATTTTATCAGAAACAAAAATTTAAGAACTAATTTCATAGAGATGCCTCTTGCTGCCCATGGTTTTTCAAGTTACCAGGAATGCCTGACCCAAGGCATGAAATCCCACATACATGGCATCTGGCAAGGGAGACATAGAGGAGTGAACCCCTGACCAATGGATCCTGGTTGGATCATGTACTAGCCTTTCTTTGGAGGGGAGGGGAGTAACCGGAAATCACTCAGGGCCTTGGGTTTGCCAGGCAGGTGCTTGTGCTGCTAGCTATATCCCCGGCCCCACTAGCCTTTTAGAATGCTGGAACAAACACCTTAAGGTGCACCTGAAATGCCAACTGGAGGCCTCAGTAAAGTTATAGGATGCCACCCTTCAGGATGCAACCTATTTAGAGACCTCTATTCAGAGCTATGTCCGCAGTAGGAAGCACACATGGGTGTGTGTATCAAAGAGCAACCTCAGAGTTGCTCCATTTAGGTCGTTCCCAGTGACCCACTGGGGCTTTTGTGCTTCCGTCCCCCACGCTACAAGCTGGGAGGTCCAGTGCCCACGTGGACACATTCTTGCCCAGGAATATAGCAAAGGTACCGTTGATGTACTGCTGCTTATAGCTGCCACCAGACGCCTTGCGCTTGGGGAACTGCAGGAGAGTGAAAAAAAGCCAGCAGCATGGCGGGAACAAATGACCCTGCTTGGAGGGAGCTGGACATCTTTTACACAATGGTGGCAGAACCAGTGATCGACGAGCACTTCCCGGTATGGCCTTGCCCCGTTCCGCTGTGAACAGGTGTGCAGAGACCCAAACCGAGAGGAGGATGACTGTCGTGTCTTCAGATCCCTTGAAGATGTTTTGGGTCCCGGCACCAGATAAGCCCAAGTGGTAGCTGGGAGTGAGGGGCATGTGGAACGGAAGGTGGAGGAGAGGAAGGATGGGTACCAGCTCGCGCACCCAACACCCGCAGGAAGCGCACACAGAGGCTTACCCTGGTCACCAACCTCACGCGTTCCCTCAGGAAGACACAGCCATGAGCACCACGGAAGCGCTGTGCCCTGAGCCCGTGCGGAGAGGCAGGCACGCGCCGTGAACTGTGGGGACTGAGGATGTGCCACAGACCTGCTGCTGCGGGCAGGCGCATGGCTTTGGCACCGGAGTCCCCTCCAGCCGTCGCACACCTCCCTCAGACCTCCCAGCCAGCCTCTGCCCTTCCTTCCCTGCTGCATGTCCTGGGCTCTCTGCCTTCCTGGGCTGCCTCCAGTCCCTTTTACACAGCCTTCCCCCTTCATAAAATCCTCTCACCTTTGACCCCGCCTTGGCTTCTGCCTCTAGGACAACGGGCGCTCACCACTTACAAATTAAATCAGGGAGACCCTTCACCACGTGGAGTCTTCCTGACCGAAAAATCCAACACAGCGTATTTCCTGTTGGCTGAAGGCTTTAGCGGGCTTTGTAAACATTTCTTCACAAGAGACTTGCATATTTTAAGCTTACTTCTACGGATCTTTCTGTTGCTATTGTAAGTGGGTCATTGCTTCCTTTGTATTTTCTATCTGGTAGCGATTTGTATACATGAAAGGTAGTGATTTCTGCATATTTATCCGATTTGTCACAAACTTAGTGACTCTTATTACTCTATAATTTTTTGTTTTGTTTTGTTTTTTTACTCCGTAGTTTTACTGTGGTTGTTGAGTGTCTTGGTTTAGATATAATCATAATTTCTTCAAATAGTAATCCTTTTATTTACACCTTTATTTATACTTCCAATCGCCTTCTTTTATCTATTTGTGTTGCCAGTAGATCAAACATAATATCTTTTTTTTTTTTTGTCTTTTTGAGACAGGGTTTCACTGTGCAGTCCAGGCCGGCCTTGAGCTCACTTTGTAGCCCAGGCTGGTCTCGAACTCCCAACGATCCTCCTGTCTCAGCCTCCTGAGTGATGGAATTATAGGCCAAACACAGTATCTATTAAGTAATCATTGTGAGAGGGCCATCCTGGACCTTTTCCTAATTGTAGTGGCGAAGCTCCGAGTGTTTTGCTGTTGTTCGTGATGCCAGCTTGGCGACGGAGTGATAGGTGGTGTGTTATGGGAGTGCTCATTCGTTCTCATTTTATTGTGGTTGCTAGGTTTTACCAAATGACTTTTAAGTATCCGTGACATTGACGTATGATTTTTCTCCTAATATTTCGATATGATTATTTTCTTAACATAGACACTGTCTTGCCTTGATTGGTAAAAAAATATCCCACTTGGTCTTGAGAGTGTTTTTCTTTCTTAAAAAACAAGGTGTTATGGTTGATACATTGTATCAACTTGAGAAGTTTTGAGGTTTAATTAAGTGACTCAGCAGGGAGCCAGGGTCCTTACTTTGTAAACATCCTGAGCCTGTGCAAGAGGAGGGTGTGGAGATTGTGTGAGTGCTGCACCCACCATAGGGGGGCTGGCCTGCTTACCATATAAGGGAGGAAAAGAGGCTTTCTCCCCCCGCTTTTGCTCTTGCTGCTTTTGCTGTCTTCTTCGGCCTTGAAGTATTGCCCCTATGGCAGGCCACCATGCCTTGGAGCTAGCTGATTACAGATTGAAACCTCCACAAACTGTGAGCTGAATAAACCTTTCCTTCCTTAATTTGGGGTGTGGGGTATTTTGTCTCAGCAAGGAGAGAAAAGTAACCAAGACACAAAGTCTCTAAGTTTTTGCATTAATAGTCGTAAATGAGCTTGGTAGTATGTTCAATAGTTCTAATTTTTCAGGTTGTAGTAACACTTCAAATGAAGTTAGACATTTTCCTTTTTACAGTGTCTCTGGAATGATGTGAAAGTATAGCTTTGTACATGTAATAAGGTTCCCCATCTGAGTGGGCTGCTTTTTATGGGTGTGTAGCTCTTTCCCAACCTTACCTGGTTCATCTATAGGATCCTGCTTATGCTTTTGCTTCTAATCTCTTCTATAAATTTGGTAAAATATATCATCTTAGACATTTTTCTACTTAATCCAGTTTTCCAAGTTGCACAGAATTGAATTTGTGCAATTCTTTTATTTATTGTTTTATCCATTAAACAGAATGATTCATTTAAATTACTAAAATGTATATAAATTATTATAATTTTAAAATTAATTTTTGCGTGTTTGAACTGTCTCCATTTCCTAAAATCAATACTTTCTTCTGTTTTCTTTTCTTCTCTTTCTCTTTTTTTTTTTTTTTTTTGTCTTTTTGAAATAGGGTCTCACTATGCAGTTCGGGCTGGCCTTGAGCTCACTTTGTAGCCCAGGCTGGCCTCGAACTTGCAACAACCCTCCAGCCTCAGCCTCCCGAGTGCTGGGATTACAGGCATGTGCCACCACACCTGGCTCAATTGCTATGTTATTGGTGAGATCTAGATCATCAGTTAGGTTACCAAGGTCTTTGATAATTTACCTACTTTAACACTTTTTTAAATTGATACTGTGTTAGGG